TTATGATTTATAAAAAAAACTAGTTTTATAAAATGATTTTATAAAGGTAATAGGGATGAATAAGAATAAATTAATACAGTATAAAGTTATGTTACAAATTAATACAATTGATATCTAAGAGAATAAAATTAATAATAAATAATAAGACAAAATACTAAAAAAGAAATAATATATTTTGAATAATATGTAACAAAAGTTTCTGATTTTAAAATAAAAATTGAAAAAATTTGATTTGATCACTTGATTGTTATTATTTATTGCCACTATATGTATTTTATAATAATAAATATTCTTTGATTTATAAAATTAATTTTTTAAAGATTTTTAGTTTATAAAATCTTGATTTTATAAAGTATATGCTTTTTATTAATAAATCTATATCTTAAGATATTTTATAATTAATTTTTTAAAATTACAATGTTCGAATTTTTAAAAAATTTTAATAAACTTATTTATCAGATTTACAAGAATAATATATTATTAATATTAATATTTTTTCAGTTCATAAAATATAAATTATTGTACATTAAAATATCGTAATTGATTATTTAAAAAATGGGAATAATAATTTATTTAAATTATTGATATTTATTTTTTATTAGTGATCAATACTGTGATCATATAAAAAATTATGATAAATGATTCAAACTTATTATAAAATTTGAAATATTTCGATTAGTTAAAAAACTAACACATATTTAATTAAATTAAAAATTATTATGTCTTGATTTTCCGGAAATTTTTTTTTTTTTACGGAACTTTCTTATTTGAATAAGAACGCCGTTGCATATTATTGTTTCCAAACACGGAACAATAACATAACGGGACGATGCGTATTAACAGTTATCGAATTTCAATGAACCATAAAATGGAAATTTACTGATTACGCAAAATTTTGCTAGTTATCATTACATCATCTTTTTTTCTATACAGAGGAATATAACAAAACCGTTTGGAAACAATGGCATTAATAATTCTGTGATCCATCCTTTTTTGATCATATCATTTTGTATTGTGCGTGGGAGAAATTCCTAATTAAGCACCTATCAATTCTTGTTTTTAGTGCATACAGTATACAATATCCAGTAGTCGTTTCTATTGTAAAAAAATACCTTTGCATAACATCGTGAGGATATAAATTTGGCGCAAAATCTTTCAAAATCAACAATCATGTCTTCATCTAAACGTGCGTCCTCAAAAACAAAGTCACCTCCTGCGTCTAGTTCAAATTCAGACAAAGGAAATAAATTTGGAGATGGGATACTTTTTCGTTCTGGTGCACCCGTTCAATTATTAGAGTATATAAACTCAGAGGAAGATGGTTTTGGAAAAATTGTGATCAATAATGCCGCACTCGAAATACTCGATAATATTAAAGAACCTGTAGCCATTATGGCAGTCGGTAGGTGTAAAATTAATATTAAATGTACTTTTCATAAAATAAATTAACATTTATAAATTTATTATTTTCAAGTGGGATCATATCGTCGTGGTAAATCATGGTTTGCTAATGTACTTCACGGGCGTCACGATGGATTTGAACTTGGGTCCAAAGTTGAAGGATGCACTCGTGGTATATACATGTGGGATACCCCCTTTTCTCACGAAGGAAAGCGTGTTATAGTACTTGATTGCGAAGGTATCGATGATCCTAAGCAGGATCAGGAGTGGGCTGTTAAACTTTTCATCCTCTGTTTAGTTATCTCGTCTACTTTCATTTATAACGTAAACGGGATTCTTGGTCGCGACGATATCGGAAAACTTTATCTAATGACCGATTTAAGTAAATTCATTCAACCACCGAGTGACTCTGAATTCTTGCCAAGATTAGTTATTTTATTGAGAGATTTTCAGTTAGAAGAACCCGATGATTTTCGAGAATACTTGATTGAAAAGTTGAATAATGTTAATGAAGAAAGTAATTATTTTATTAATTAACAATTCTATTTTGAATATAGTGTCAATAATATATATTTTATTAATTAATGATGCTTCGTACATATAGTTGCTAAAGCAATCATG